AGAACTGTATAGCCAATAAAATTACTGCTTTTCCGTAAAAGCTGCAAGTTGATTGGCTACACAGTTCTCGGTCCAAGAACTTGGACCGATTTCTAGTATCGTGGACACAAGGCTTAAGAAAGATAAAATTAGTTGTTCAATTGCTATGTATATTTCTGAAGATATTATTGCAAAAGTCTTTAACGCGCAAGCAATATCTTACAAATTAAGCTTAACGAATAATTAATAAAGCAATATTAATAAGAAAAATTAATTGATATTGATAAAAAATATGTACGCTATTATTTAAATAAGCACAGTCTACTGTAACGGAAATATAAATATTTCAACAATATAATTGTACTTTTTGCAAAAAATATGTTTTAAATACAGTAATTTTATAATTCAAAGCTAGAAAAGACTTCATAATTGTAAATGATGTTAACTTCAATATATTGCGTTATATAAATTTATAAAATAGATAATATTAAATAGCTTACATTCTATGCATACATGATCTAATCAGTTTTCAAAATTAACAAGAAAAATACAAAATGTATATTGTAATATATGTATGTATTTAACGCGTAGCTATGTACGAAATAATAAATATTTCCTAAATAAAACTAATTATGATAACATGCCGCTATATATACTACAGTATATTATCATAATTGTCCTACATATTAAGCTTAGTAATCAAGTCATACAAAAAAAAAATTTTTTTAAGTGAGCGAAATGTAAGCATGTCGAAATTGTATCATGAATTGTAATGAGATGATTTTACCATGGTCAAACCTAAATGATTTTTATACAAATGAAGGAAAAAGGAATGAAGCCGACTTAAGAATCTAGCAAAGTTGATATCATGCGAACGAAAAAGAGAAAGAGAGAAAAGAGTGAAATAAAGCAATAAGAGAGAATTAAAAAACAATGAGAAAATGACCAGAAACTATCCTAGAGAATCCTATGTCGACAATTTCTTAGGTAAAGCACTCAAAGAGATTGGCACTGTCGTTTTTGAGCTTCTGAGAAACGAATTTTCTCATCATCCGCTCCGGCAGAATTTGCGAAAGACTGTAATGACAGGAAACCTAATTACCCTAAGAGAGTTAGTGGCCCAAGAAAGAAGTAACCAAATGAAAAAGAACGAATGTAATCCGAAATATAAGTAATATATATTGAAATATTAAATATGCAGGAATGTATGCAGGTCTTTCGGTTTTTGTATTAGGCATCGGGGGCCTGTACCTCTGCCTAAGGGGGTCAGCAGTGGCGAGTAAGGAGTTGTGGGCGTTGCGTGGTTGAGGGTCCAGTAGTGAATGGTCGCTGGGGGGTACACCACTTGAGGAACGGTGACTTGCGCTGATGCTCGCAGACTTGGTGTGACCCCGCGTTGGTCTAGTGCCCTCGCCCAGACTGTGCACAAAACTAATCAGCAAATTGCCAAGCCTTATGTTTCACGATTTAATCCTATTTTTTTTTTATATATATAATAAAAGATCAGAAAATCTTTTGAGATTATACAGAAGCAAAACAGGGCGAGATCCAAAGATTTGTGAAATTTCAGATATCGAGAATATTTCATTACGTACTTATATGCATAATATAACAACAAATTTAAATCTTAGATAAATAATTATATTAAGAATTTTCTTGTTTCAAACATGATTTGAGTTGTAATGTCGTTTACTTTTGTATATCCTTTTTTTTTTTTTTAAGAAAAACTATGTTTAATAAATTTTTATGTATACTTAAACATATTTTATTTATCCGAAGAATTAAAAAATCTGCGCACATATATATAGGTACGTTACGTGTAACACACACATGTAGTATATATATATATATATAT